GTATGTAGCCACATGCAACCGCATCATATCATTGAGTTGTACAGGCGGCTGCAGTCAGCAACTGCCTTTCCCAGGCACAGGTTTCTGCATGGAGGTTCACGCTCTACTACTGTCTGCACGTTTGTGTGACTGGATCCCAAGTGCATAGGTTTAGATACACTTTAATTATTAAACTATGTGATAATACTCAACTGTTTCTGCTTCTCTTGCTCCACTAAGGTACATATGTAGCACCTTTTACCTCCTGCTTTATCTCTTTAAGATCTCTTGGGTTTATAACCCCTTCATTTGTATTAGGTAGTGTTTTTATCACCTTTGCTTGTTTTATGCATTATATAAAATGAGCACAAGCTATAAGGGTATGGTTTGGAGTGTGGGAGGAAACTGGAGTACCCAGGTCAAACCCATGCAAGCACAGAGAGTACATGCAAACTCATTTGCATCCAGTCAAATATTTGTAAACATTTTGTATAAAAATAGGTAGAAAATACAAATCATTGGTCTAGAAATGGACACTTCCAACAATAAAAATGTCCCTTAGTGTATGTGCTTTTAGAACTGTTTGAAAAAGCACGTTACTACTGTGAGTCCTGTGTACTTGCCCTGTGTGCATGACTGGACGTGGGAATTTAGATCATCAATAAGCACACAACAACACCAGCATGAGAAACACTCATGCAGCATTCTTTGGTGTTTAATGTACAGGATGACTCGCCTTCCAGTTACAAATATATCAGCAAATATTAAATGCAGTGTTTCCAATTACGCTAGGCATGACATTAAATGTTTTCATCTGACATCAGCATATGCACTGCAAAACTCAATCTTTCAAAAACTGAGCTCTTGATATTTCCTCCCGCCCGTGCACCTTCCCCCAACTTTTCAGTTGAGATTGATAAACACAACTATCCAGCCCTCCCTCCATGCCCAAGTCCTAGGTGTCATCCTTGACTTGGACCTCACCCTTCTTCCCCACATCCAATCACTATCCAAATCCTGCCGCATAGCGAGGAAGTCGGCTGTGCATTTTGCAGCGCTCTCGCAACGCTAATAGCGTATCTTTTCAGAAGCTGCGCACAGCGCACGCTGGTTTAAGTAGTAACTAGCACACTCTGTATGCAGCTTCGGACAGCATGGGAGATGGGAGGCTGTGCTTGTCGGTGGATCCAGGGATCAGGTGAGTATTAAAAAATATATATTTTATGTTCCCGGGGACATGTAGGGCTCATTCACACTGGAATCGGCCGACACGTACAGCTCTGTGCTGCGTGCACAGCTGTATCGGGCAGTTCCCAGGAAGGAAAGGTGCTGCGTGTGATTAGTACGCAGCCCCTGTCCTTCTCTATGGGAGTACGCGGCCGTACGCCCCCCCCACGTCCGTACGAGCATACGAGTACAATCACCCGCACCGATGTGCAGGATGGGTGAGCATAGGGGCGGCTTATGGCATCTGTAGCGGCAAAGAGACGGCGAAGGGTTAAGTCCGCCCCTGGCAGGTGGTATTCAACATTGCTGTATATTCATTATACAGCAATGCTGAATACCACCAGCCCAGCTAGTCCCCCAATCCCCTCTTTCCCCCCAAGCCAGTCATTACCCACAGACACCCCCAACCTCACCTAACATATGCAGGCTGCAGCACGGCACCTCTTCATCTGCGTCCTCCTTGGCGGCCAGTGGAGGGGAGGAGTCACAGGAGAGGGTGCCTGCAGAGACGGGTATTGGCTCCGCCTCAGTGATTGCCAATGACAGGCAGCTGCCAATGACCTGTTACTTTCAATTCATTCAGAAGATCCCTGGCCTGCACAGACGCCGGTACATACAGCTTTCCCTCTGTGCCACTGACTTTACTGCAGTTCATTGTACAGTGTTTTTTTTACAATGAACCGCAGTAAAGTCTATGACACAGAGTGAAAGCTGTATGTAGTTGTGTCACACAACACACACTGCGGGTGGCAGCTGCAAGGATCGGCAGTCCGGACTCGTCATTCGGCACATTCAGTGACAGGAGCGGCTCTAATCTCGGGGGGGCAATTGCCCCGTTGCCCCCCCTGGATCCGCCACTGGTGCGGACTGCCTGGGTCTCTATGGCCTCTTATGCTGGTGGCTTTCACTGGCGGCGGTGAGAAGAATGTGCTGCTGTACAGATCACTGACAGTGATCTGTGCAGCAGCGCGTTCTTCTCAAAGCCGCTGCGGAATTAATGAGAGCCGGCGGTGGAGTAGGTTGGCGGGGCCCGTGGTCGGCAGTCCACAACTCTGCCCTAAGCTTTATCACTGACCATGGCTCAAAATATCACCCAAACCATACTCTTCGTTACTTCCAAGGAACCAAGTTGCTCCATCCTTGTCATCGTCAGTGAGGACTGTTCAGGCGTGGTGCCCGGATAGGTCCGCTCAAACACTTATCTGTCAGCTTGTGATATTGATATTCCCTTCTCCTGAAGAAGCGCCTGTGTGCGCAAAACGTTGAGCAACTGCTCCTCCATTATCAACCATTACTACAGTATTTATCGTTCTGTACTGTTTTATCTCAACTTGATTATGCCCTATTTCTAATAATGTACACTGTCTGGTTCAAATGTTTATGATGTACATTTGTAGTGGAAGGGTGAATGGAGTGAGCATATAGGGAACCATCTAAACCAGCTGATTGTTTTTATGCTTCATATTACCAACAGGTAAGACATCCCCCGAAAATAAGACCTAGTGTCTTATTTAGTGCAAAAAAAAAATAAGACACGGTAGTTTTTTTTAATATTACATTAAAATACATTTTTTACAGTCTTATCTCTTGGAGTTGTCATTCGATGCCTTAAAAACCCCAACTTTTCTCTCTTTTTTGATACCTTATGCACTAGGGGTGTGGCATCTAGAACCCAGATCCAGGTAAATCATTTTCCAGACCGTTACTTCCAAGGCCTAAAGCTCTGTAGCTCTCTTCACCTACAGGACTTTTTTAGTCTCTTCCATCCTCTGGAACGCCCTATCCTAGTCTCTATAGCTATTTTCCCACTCTGTCCACCTTCAGGGAAGCCTACCCTGCCTCTACCTAAAAACTGAACTTTAACCTTCTCCAACAGCTCATCTTCTTTATTGTAACCGTGTTGTCTATATATTTATATGCCTATATTTTGTAAAGCACTGTGCAAACTAAACTGTTGGTGCTTTTTTTTTGTGTGAAAAAAAACATGGAGACAAAACCAGAAAGCATGGTTTAATTGTTATTTTATTAAATACCTTCTTCCAAGGTTTCAATATAACAAAGCTATGAAGATCTACCAACATTCAGAACAAACAAACACAGGGTAATTGTTTTATTTTCTATTATCATGCAAAGATTCTGCATCAAATGCCTTTCCAAGTCCTGTTTAAAACGTGATATTTATAATATATATTATATATATGCTTACATTAGCCCCATAAGATAACAGTAACAATGCTAGAAATGGTTTGTCAGATAATGACCATACCAAGCTAAGGTTTTGTTTAACTTAAAAAGAAAAAAAAAATCCCCAAAGACAGTGCAAAAGAAAAGAAAAAATATAAAGTTTTTTTGTATTGTTCTTAGAAAGATGCACTAAAATACAGAGCGATTTTCATATTAATCAAGTAAACAGACAGTGACAGAGCAGACCTAAAGAAGACATGCATAACTTTTCTTAACTGCATATATTTTTTGTTTGTTTTTTTTCCCTTTTAACTGTTTAAAAGCCAAAAGCTTTTCTTCCCAGCTTGTTAAGATTTAGTGCTGTTTAAACAGAAACTAAAAATAAAATTTAAAAAAAAACCCCTCATTCTCCCTGAAAACTATGAAAAAGCCCCCCCTTTCCCACCCCATCCACCCGTGTGCTCTTATAAATTTCACACAAGCATTCCAAACTGATTTGTGTTAACCCACTTTTCATAAGTCATCTACGTCAATATCTGATTTAATACTTAGCCATCAAATAGTTTCTTTCCATTACATCTTGCACTGGTCATCTCAGGAATTCTGGAGAACATGCTTAGGCCATGTGCAAATTTCCACAAATACAAAATGTCTTCTGTAAGCCCAACATACTAAGAATTTTTATCACAAGTGGGTTACAAGTGACATACCATAACATGCACGTATCAAAACTATTTTTGTAATTTTTTTTTCAAAAGTCCAAATTGTGCAACAATGACAATTTAACAATTTCCAACAGCAAACCTTTAAAGAGTCATTTTTTCCCCCTTTTTTTTGTGTGTAATTAAGGCGACCAAAGAAATTCTAATCTAAAGACAACAGACTTTGTGTTGCAGTTCTACATCAGCCTGCATGAATGTTCAAAGTGGATTGCTGTTGATTGGACTTGTCTCAAAAAAGGCAAATTACAGTTTTGTGCATTTCTGTATGCTTAACAATGCTTGATATGCAAAATCTAGATTATACATCTGCTTATTCAAATTGGATGCAAAGAGAGCCTGACTCTCTATAAAGGACAACCCACAAACAAGAACATCAAGGGTTTAGATTCTAAATGGCATTTTTTAGAATGAGGTGAAAGTGATTTTAGATACATTTTAAGACACCTTAAAGGGTTAGTTTTCAAAAAAGGAAATAAAAATGAAGTTATCAGACACTGTTCACCCTCTTGCAAAAAATACAATAAAAATAGGGGCCATCAGAGCACACAGTTTAGAAGGTGCAGGCAAGTATAGAAAGACATGCATACATCTCTACGCATTTGAGTTCAGTGTATTGTTTCACTCATGACAGACCACACATGACATACAAGCAGACTTTCTCCAAATCTGCTTAATAGTACACAAAGCTTTATCGCTGTGAAAATATATCAGCCCCCTTTACATATATACCACAAGGGAAGATGACTATGCATTAACACTTCCCATTACATGGCAGTTTCTATTTTTCGTCTATTTTCTCCGAAGAGTTCATACCAAAAATGTATTATATTAACATTGCCACTAATGAAATGTTCCTTCTGCAGGATGTACATTCTATATTCTTTTTTTATATAGCTTTATATCTCTGTAATATTTCTCCCCTGCTCATTCCCTTCTTAACACAGACCAAGTTCTGCTCTTGGGAGCCAGTTGGATGGATAACAATATCTCCAGCTCAGTGCTATATTGGAGGCAAAACAGCTCAGCCGACAATATTTGGAAGGTTTTAATAGTCTTAAAAATAAAGAGGATGAAACAAAATAACACCTCCTTTCGTGGCTCTACCTTATCACTTTTGCAGGTCAACGCTTTGAACAGGTGAAGACACCATTCCTTATAAACTACACCCCTCCTTTCTTTACAATTGCATTACATGAACCAGCAGCTTATTCAATGAAAAGGGCTAGTCCTTACACATGTTATTCTCTCCATTTTTGTTTCTTTCCCCAAATGATGCTTCAGGTGGCTGTCTCAACCTTTCTCTTTCAAAAAGCAGCCGCATAATCCTCAGCCTGATTTTTAACAAACAATATATATATACTATTTTATATTAGTTTTTGCTCATTTTGAAACTTTAAAAACACCTCCGTACAGCAGGAACAGACACGATGGATCCATGAAATACAACAATTTAGCCAGCAGCTGCTTCAGCCTCAGAATGCATGCAGGGTTTTCGTGCATTTTTGGCTACTGCCGGCAGCAATATTTTTATTTTTTTGAATTTTTATGTACTTTTTATCTTTTTTAAAACTTCCGAACGAACGGGACAGTTGCCGTCGTTTGGGCGATCCACACTCGCTCGATAGAAAGAGGTTCTTCCACGGGAGAGGCTGTTTAAGGAAAAAAGAAAGAAACGTGGCTTTAAAATCAAGAGAAAAACAACAAAATAAGAGAATCAGGGGAACAATATACCAGAATGCACACCATAGCACTGGTTACTTCTAGTTTTTTATTTTATTACCGGAACATGACACATGGATACTTCAGCTACAATATTTTGTGATAGAATTTTGTGCTACAGTGTTAGAAGTTGTATCCTACTAAGTGGCTATGATTAAGGGTACTTTTAGCTGAACCGCATTAGCAGGACTGTTCTGTCTGGTTTTATGCCTTGAATTAATAAAAATTATTTAACTGGAACCAGAACCATGTGTAAATACTTTATTCTACAGTTTATGATGAAAGGCTGGTGAAGACTTGTTTGTGCACTGATGTCCTGTGAAATGGCATTGCAGGAAAGAGGTAGAGCGCTTTGTGTCCGTCTTGTGAGCTTATCTTTTGTTTTAACAGGCGGCATCTATAGGACTCGGCATGCTGAAACTTGTACTGGCCTCTCATATATAAATCAGTGAAGTTGCTAGTGTTATCAGTATTCTCAGTCATTAAAAAAAGTATTTAACAATTCATCTTTACATGCATGTCTAGGCAGCAGCATTATTTTGCTGTAAGCAAAGTCAATTTATACATGCAGAGGACAAAAAAAAAAGACAAAGATGAGTAGTCCAGCAGGTAGGTCTGACAATGCTGCATGGGATTTTAGTCCAACAGAAGCACTTTGTTGTAATCCCAAACAGGAAGTTAGACACTTACTGGTTTACAGGTCGACGGGTATTTTTCTGTACTTGCAACTTTTAAAACAGATAAAACATGAAAAAATTGTGCATGTATTGCAGAGGTGTACTGAATTTATATTTGTTACCCTGACATGTGCTTAAATCCAAAATGCAGTCAGCAATTTTGCACTCAGCTAAAAAGACATTTAGTGGGCTGTAGCAGGTGTGGTACTTAAAAAAAAAAAAGCAGAGTGTGAGGATGACTATAAATTGCCTGATCTCTTCTCGTCTACAGCCCAAGGAGAAGCACAGGTATTGTGCATTTAAGTGCATCCCTAGGTACCAACAACATGAAATTCTGCTCCTTATTGCTCACAGAGGGTTTGACTCCCCACCTATGATTGATCTTGACACACCCAATAAAAGGTACCAAAAGTTGCTGCTGTTGCAGTCAAATTATTAGTAACCTAAACTGAAGTCGGGATGTGTACTCAAAAAAAACCCTGTAGATTTTGAAAGACACGCATTCCTCCTCTAATTATGCTACATTTTCTTCTTGACAAACATAGCCCCCTAGCATTGATGTTCAGTGGTCACTTTTGTTTGTCTATGCTCCATGTCCCACACAGCTGCTCTACTGACCGGACGATACCACATTAGGAACCAAATAAGAACCATCAGGCAGGAGGTCACTTGGCCCAACAGTGTCGGCTAAGGTACACTACCAAGTCCTGCCATGTTCACCTGCTGCCACTTTGCATATAGGGGCACTGGCATGCCAAAAGAAGGCCTTATTTTTAAGGCCTTCTCATTACGGAGGCCGATAAAATGCAAGCAGTGGGCTGGCCTGATAGCCATAGTTTATGGACCGTTGGTCTACATATTTTTCTACATTCTGCTGTCTGATATCAGACTCCACTTCTATGTACCTGAACTGGTTCCTCACTGAAGGGGGGCAGCTGGGGCCCCAGAGCAGTGATAGTGGACATTCAACCACTTGCCATCTCTGCGATACCAGACCCTTGTCTCTTCTGACTGTGTAGTACGAGGTCGTCCCTGTGCATCAATGTATTGTGTAAGTCGGATATAAGCAATACAGGCTGCATCTTCCCCAATGACATGTACATGGGGATTCAGAATGGTAGTATGGATAGGCTTAGTATTCTTGGACAACACTGCAAAAAAAAAAAAAAAGTTATTTAATCATGAGAGAAAATCGCTTTTTAAAACAATTATAATTCAGTGCTGAGTGGGAGATAACTTTGTGGTTCATGCTTTAGGACAGTGCAACGTCGGCCACACGAGCACCACGGGAGGACAGGACGCCGGGACATGTAGGGCGCACTGGAATGTAGGCCGGCCGACTCCCTGCGTTCAGGTGCGGGAGGGGGTGTGGAGCTGTATTGAAGTCAATGGCATCGCCCACATTGCGATCGCCCGCACTCGGAACGCAGGCACATTAGTGCCTGCATTCCGGTCCAGTGCGATCTGCAAAAATAGTGCTCGCAGCATTTTTGCGGATCGCACTGGACTGGAACACAGGCACTAATGCAGGCAATCGCACTGTGGGCGAGGGGCCTGCCTGCGGAGCCTGGCTGCGGTGCCATTGACTTCAATGCACCGCCACGCCCCCTCCCGCCCCTGAATGAAGGTGTTTTTTCGTTGGTAGATCTCAATGAGCTCGTCATTTGAAAAGTAGATCTCCAGACGAAAAATAGTGGGTGCCCCTGCTTTAGGATCATCAACTGGTGAAGGTTCTCTGGCATTCTTGTCGTCAGCAGCCTATACTGTTCTCACATTCTGATAATACAGAATAGGACAGCCACAGCCCTGCTCCTTAATTTCTCCACTCCACTTTATTTAAAAAAAACAAAACAGTTGGCAGGGATACAACCGCCATGACAAAATGTGTACTACTGGCTGTAGGAGCCTGAGATGTAAACAATATAGTCTTTGGTATTACAAATTATATATCAAACAGTTAAGAGCTTTGCCTAACAGAGTTATATTAAAGCCGACTCCACATTCACTAATATATGTACAGTATAACTGTTAGACAAGCTATTTTGTAATGTTGTTATAGGCCGAGATTACTTTTTTGACTGTGATTCATGTTACACATGGTCACAATGTATAGAAAAGTATGCATTACACATGGTCACAATGTATAGAAAAGTATGCATTTTTTCTTTTGTTTTTCTATAAGGTGGACTCTGCCTTTAACATTAGATTGGAGTTCTACTTTAAACTACAGTTTTATCTTGTGAAAAAAGTGAATAGCAAAATTGCTTTAATTTCCCTTTATTGAGGTACCCAGGATTGTTTACCCCAATAAAGAAGGTTTCACACAATATTAAAAGTGTGTCCTAGAAAAAAAAAAAAGAACATTTCCTGTATTTTGGAATCGATTACACGGTCACATTCCAGGGGATATATGCTATCCTTAATATTCTTCATATAGTCAGGTTTTTGTGTCACAAAGAAAAAGGAAAAACGATGCCACTCACAATTGTCAAAATAAAATTTATGGAAGTCCATTCCTTCAACAAGGTTGCCAAGTGCTTCAGGTTCAAATGAAGTCAAGCCAGGGTCACAGATCTTCCTGTGTAATGCACAACAAATGGAAAGTGAAATCAGGTAGTAGCAAATTCATCATTACATTCAATTGTTGCTATGCTACAAGTATTTATAAATCCGTCATTATTTCCTTTGATTCTAGGCACGTCATTGGGGTAATTAATTAGCACAGTGGCTAAGTAAAAAGCTACTGGTTAACATCCATCATTATTGAGAGAATGAGGGCTTCTGCAGGTCCACAAGTTAGGCCCATGGCAGACTGACCATCGTGTTGCTGCCAACAACTCTCTACAAGACTGATAAAAAGTGCAGAATAAATACTCATCTGCTTTTGCAGTTTGGCTCACTTGCTGGCCATATAAACAAAGTGTTGCTCAGACACTGATGGAAACGCTGCAGAATGTAACTTTCCAGCCATGAAGCAATGCCTCTTTAATCCAGTCAACGAAGGAGACACAGCATGGAAGCAGATATTTCTCTGCCCTGTATAGTCATCCTGTCACTGGCGAGTTGTTACCTACATCAGTATCACAAATGTGACTTGGCTCTTACTGATATCCTAAAAGACCCCAACTCTCTGCTAGAACATCATTTCACATTTCATGTTTATTCCGTTCTGGAGGGTGGCTACTTTTGTTCCCCATGGTCCCTGTGTGTGTTGTAAAGTAGCCACCGCTCCAAGCTCGCTCTCATGATGGACTAAAATCTCACATTTAGTTTAATCATTTATACTGCGATCGTAGACTTTCACGGGAGCGAGCTTGGAGCGATGGCTACTTTACAACATACACAGGGACCACGGGGAACAATAGTAGCCCCCCTCCAGAAGGAAGGCCAGCAAGGCAGGCCATCTTAAAGCAGACCTTTACCCATATCTTTAAAATAACAAACACACACACCTTTAGAATTATTTAGTAATAACAATCTACAAACAGATACTTTTAGATAACTGCAGGATTTGTATTCTTTGCATCTTATTTCTCTGTTCCTCCCCAGGCTTCTGACAGTGGCCATGTTTACTAAGGGCAGATTACTAGATCTATTACTTCCTGGATTTCTGGGACATGTGACCATGCACATCTCAGGGGAGGAAAATGCCTTTCCCTGAGATCTCCTGAGATTGCAGATGAGATTTCCCAGCAATGCTCTGCTGATGACAAGGCAATCCCAGTGTGCATAGCTTTGGCAAACTGAAGTGATTTGCACTTTCAAAGCAGGAAGTGAATGCTCTGCAAGTGTAAGTATTTCAAAATCACAGCATTTTACGCCTGGTATGTCTATGTTATTATTAATCATCATACATAGAGGGATGCATTGGTAGAATTTGATTTGTGAGTGTAAAGATCCGCTTTGATGGTAGGCCAATAGAATTGTAGATGTTGAGTGGAAGCAGGCAAGTTCTGGAAGTGATCAGCACTTTGCCTGCTTAAATAAAAGCAAGTGTTCCGCGGTAAAGGGAGGTAAATAAAAGCAGCTCCAAGCATGTAATCTATATATCAAGAACTTCATAAATTTACCCAAAATAAAAAAAAAAGTTTGTGTTTTAGAGTTCTATTTGTCTGACTAGAAACAGCCCAACACCCATCCATGATGAGATAAGTGATTAAAAAAAAACCCCCACTCACGTGTAAGCATCAAAGTCTCCATTGTTAATAGCTTCAATCAATTGCTCCGTGATCTTTATAATCTCCTGTTTTCGCACTGCAGAAGAAGAGAAAGACTAAGTAACATTGAATATACAGCATGATTCACAGTTGTAACATTTTTAAAGACAGTTTGAGGTTAATAATACAAAGTATCTACTGGGTTCATTGGGTAAATCAAGTGGAAAGAAGACAAAAGGTAGAACATGAAGATGCCCAGCAGCAAACACCACTTCAATATCTAACCTCCTTGGGCTAAATCATGGTGAAAATACAATCCCTTTGAGTCCTCACACATGCTCAATATTAACAATAGGAAATCCTTTCAATCCAATCATTTTCTGGTGCGGGTCTCACTTGTAAGCAAGAGAAGTATTTTACGGGATTTAACAATACATTATCATATACAATTTAACAAATAGCACTGCATATTAAAGCCTAAGGAACTATGGTTGCATCTTATAAATGTTGCTGCTGTAGACTTTAGCAGCAACAAAGAAAATATGAAAGAGATATCGGGGAAATCACAAGAAAAAAAAAGAGGGAGAAGGCCATATGAAATTTCATGTTTCTTAGTTTGCAAGGTGTAGCATTCCTGAATCTACACTAATAATATTTTACTTTTTTTTTTTTTTTTAAAAATCAACAGGATGACAGTGCATGTCAATATGTGCATATACTGAAAATTAATAGACCACAGACGCAAAACAATGCCTTTCACACTAACCACATTTTGTGAAATGTTCTACAGCACTTAAGTACCAGATTTTTTAAATATTGCATTATCTGCCAACATGAGGGGATGTACTTGTACTTGGGCCTGAAAAAGTGGCATCGGGACATCCCTAATCTGCCGGTAATGCACACACAATATGATATGTATGTATTGACACTGTCTGCTTAGATATTGTCAAATGACAGTAATACTCTGGATGTCAGGTTACCTATATGAAGAAATTGTAATACACTTATGTTCTACCCCATCTTTATTTCACTTATAACATTATTATATATATTGTCTGGGTCTGGAGAATTGATTGATGATTATTAAAAAATATAGGTGCTAATCGGCATGAAATGGAAATGTTCTCCCTCTTCATATCCTACCATAAGTCAACAACAAAGGTTAAAAAAAGACTGGAGAAATTGACCCCAATACGTTGTTTGTCTTTGTAGACTAATTGTAGGCTTAATGGCCCCAAAAAAGCAAAGAAAGACAACATTTCACACCAAAAGTAGACGTGTGTATTTGTATTAAGAACAAGCTCTTTACCACCAAAGAGGAAGAAAAGGGTACCAGTTATGAATGACATACAGCCATGTGATAAAGGAAATAACACAAGAAGACCATATTGACCTTTACTCAGTTCAGCAAACATAGACACTACCTACATTTAGATACAATAGGTCTGTAGTTAACAGGCGAGGGCTGGCACAGGGTAAAGTCTACACAAAAGATTTTAGATCTGTGAGGGCTCTTTACCATGTTGTCAAAACATGTGAACACATGGCTTTGGGAGAGGTTCTGCCCTGCCAGGATCATATGCAGAAGGTAGCAAGTTCAAATAATGTCTAAATTCGTAAAATTAAATTTTACAATCAAAACCAGTTAAAAAAAAGCGGAGTGGCTTTTACGATTTTATAGCTTGTGACCCCACCATTTCCCACAGGCTGATGGTTGCCAGCCCTCCTCTGATAGGTAGGGACTATAAAGAACCGCTACAGGAACAAGTAGGTAGGTGTAGAAATAATAGTGATGATTAACATATATTGGTAACTAGGGTGGGTCAGTACCAAAAGACGCTCTACGGGGCTGCCTTCTAACAGCTAACTTACACAGCGAATTGCTAAGTGAAAATGGTACAACTGGAGTGAGCATAGGCTCAGCCTGGGCATGCTCTATCTCCAGAGTCTGACCTGGGCTTTCCCAGGCTAGAACTTTCTCCTCGCAAGACTGGGTAGCTGTAAAGAAACATACACGTTAGCAAAATAATGACAACTAAAACAATAAAAACATCTACCACAAATCAAAACAAAATAAAAACAATTGCCGTGTTCTTTTTTTTTTTTGCCATTTTGGTAACGTCTTGCTACCACACAAAATACCTGTCTGTAGTCTACCCTAATGCATTTTTTTTTAACTTGGTTATATCTATTATTTCCTTGCTTTTTATTGGGAATAAAGAGTAACATTTAAAAAAAATGCATTTTCATGTAATTGTTCCCCAATGCAATGATAATGCATTTATGCACCCACTTAAATTTCCTGCAACATATAATCCTCAAAGTCTGCCGATTAAAATGGTACCACATTATTGCAACCTTTTTGTAACGTAGAATGATAAAAGGTGACATATGCATATTACTTTAAAAGAGCTTTATTTCCCTTTAAAAGTTACAGTGCAACACACGTAGGGGAAAACACTGTTTGCTAAATCTACTGCTGCAGTGAGAGGCTGGACAGAGCTACAAATGTTAAAGCATTGCGTTTACATTTTCTTCTACAGTACGCTCCTATTGAGCGATTTGTAGAAGGATCAGAAGCCCAGGAAGTGATTGTTTGAGTTCTGGGGCCTTGCGCTAGATAGAGGCTGTCACTAACAGCCAACGGTTCCAGTGCTAGAAGCTACTGGGACCCGCTGAGTCCAGGTGCTGTTTTAAAATGGTGCTAGAACAAACAGCCACTGTCCCTGTGTTGTTTTAAAATGGCACCTGGGACGTAAGTGGTTAAGGTATTAATAAGCATCCTATCAATACACACATATGCCTTGGTAGTGAAGCAGAATAACCAAAATGTGTCAATGTTGTGTTGGCACACAGGGTTATTTAAACAACTACTCCTATTCTGGGTGGGCACAAGTGGTTTGAATCCTCCAACAGTTTCTCATGTCTATATTATATTCTAGTGGTAAGATTTTTCTCCATCCTATAAGGCTATAGAACAAAGGTGCCCCTTTTGTGAACTGGAACCCTAATTTGCTTACGTGTATGTAAACCCCAACGATGAACTTTTCTTTCTTGCTCCATCTGGGTCTGTTCATAATGGCATTTCATTTTTTTGTTATATATGTTCAATAAGTGCAAAAAATGTGTTTTTGACAGGAATAGTGTAAGCTGATTTTGCTGTCTGCTTGTGCACATGGTGGGGTAATGGAGATTGGGAGTGTCTGTGTTCTTTGTAATGTTGGCCATACAAGAGAAAACTACTCGATTCCCCCATCCACACTAAGCAGCGAGGATGACGGAAACTTCCCTGCCAGCTATTATATTTCGATTGCCGATGCTCGCATCTTTCAGAATACCTGAACAACCAACAATACTCCGCCTGGCTCCTTTAATAATTCAATATTTGTCGAGCTGGGTGGGGCTTACAGGACCATCCTCGGTTCGAACTTCTGCAAGTTCAGTGTATGGCAAGCTTAATGCATGAACACTGAAGTAGGCAGGGCTGACAACAAGAGCTTTGGAATTCACTAGTCCACAGAGCACAGTGTATTTTTGGCATATCAACAGTTATTTTTCTGCACTTGCCAGCTTAGAGAAATTAATATGGGGTAATGTGCATGTACAGCAGAGATGCATGACATATATATAGATTTATTTTTTTCCACTAAGAAAGGAGAGTACGGATTCTGGTGGAGATAGCTCACCAAGTAACAAGCCAAAATCAGATTCAACCACGATAACACTGAAGTATAGGTTTTGGATGAAGTTGACCTTTAAGATAAATAGGGTGCAGTAACCTGGGGCATAGAAATGTGCTAACAGCAAACTATAGGTAAGCTTATGAAACTTAAAATAGGTTTAACTGTTGTTAGTTGCTGCACATTATTGCTTTGTTCCCTATGTTATTAAGTTGAAGGCCCCTGTGCTATGAGTCTTCTCAAACTGATCTGCAAAGCACTAAATACTACATCATGCATTGATTAGAACATGCATGCTGAAGAGAAATGAGCAGAGCATGGGGCAAAGGACTGGTTTCTCACAAGGGTCCATCTTATCAATAGGTCTCTACGGACAATGCACAACAGTAAAGGAAGAAATGTGAGGGAAAGAAAACAGCACTGCACTCAGAACTTACTGGCAGCAGCGCACAGACCAAACTGTGACTGCAAGGACTGAGTCTGTATTTTGCTTTCACTTTGGCTCCATCCTTGGAGAAGCAAAGGGCCATCCCCAGGACAGAGAAACGATGCTGATCCACATGCAACAGCAAGTTAAATGCACAGGAGACAGGAACGCAGTTATTATTCTCACAAAAAAAATAAGAGTAGGTTCCATTGTTGATCAGAAATACAATGCATGACACATAATTTAATGTTACAACATAATTTTTCTTCCTTTAAAAAATCCTTAAGTATATGTAAGGCTGATATAACAGTTTATATATATATATATATTTATGTGGGTTATTATCCTAGTCCCATTTAGAGATATACAATTACCTTTATTCGGGTCCTACCTACCAGTACAGCGACATGAACTATGCAGAGGGGAGGTGACCGTGTTCTTAGTACTCATTATGTTGTGCTTTCAGTGGTTCCAGTTAAACCAGAACAACAGAACTAATCTAATTCAATGTATTAAACAGCAGGGTTGTATTATTATGGCATGTTAAAGCTTTAAAGTTTATTTACACCTTCACATTAAACTTTCAGAAACTACCACTGTCTGTTATGTGTATATATCCTAACTTTCTGTCTGTTTCTTTGGAGATGGATATACATAGGATACTTCAAGAAAGCTTCAATTGCCTTGAATAAATGGCAATGTGCAGATAAGGGACAAACAGGGACAGCGTTTAAAAAAAATTAAAAATGCATTACCATACAATGCAGAATCCAACCTTTGAGATCTTTAACCCTTTGTTAGGACCGACAGTGTTCAAATATAGTTTAAAACTGATAAATATGCCAGTACAGTATATAAGGGTTAATATGCTCATATAGCTCACCTGTCACCTCCTGAACATAGAAGGCAAGAGCTAACTAAACTAGGGTATACACTGGTAGATTTTCAAATGAATGATCGCATAAAAACCTCAAGCACTTGACGAATGGCATTCAAAATTTGTTTTAACCTTCGATATTTGAATGAATGGAGTCTCCCAAACGAAAACCACATTCAGTGTTAGAATTTCATTCAATCAAGAAAACGTTTCCAAAATGCTTCTTCAACTTTTTTTTTTGTCACTGCGTCAAAATTGATCATGGATTTAACCCCATCAACTAATAAAGTCAAATTGAAAGTTCCAAAATCCATTTCATTTTATGAAAATCTAACTGTGTATACCTTACTTAACTTTTTGTTTTTTAGCAAGATAAAGCAAAAACAGTAAGCAGCTGTTATTTGAAAGCAGCTATATTTAATATACAGTATATATACACACACACACACATATATATATATATACACACACACACAAATATATTTTAAAATAAAAATTTTTATCAGTTATGCTGAATGCGAAAATGGAGCAAATATAAGGTGTTGTCCCAATGTGGCTGAAAAAGTAGAAATACACTTTAAAGTAAACCTGTTCTATGGAAATTCATGCCAATGCAAAAAGTTTACTTAAACGAAAACCTAACTTTTGGTTAAGTTCTCTGGATCAAATAATGCTCCTACCAACTCAGGTATGTATTTATATTATAGAAATTGAACCTGCCTATGTACAAGTCATTTTCAACATGATTACAATACAATGATTTTAAAGCCGTTCGGCTCTGCAAGGAACACTGTCAGAGTAAATTGAAGCCTTAAGACATGGAGATGCTTCTATGTGGACTGTTTGGATATCTTCCTACTCCTGTATATTTCAAAAGAAATGTGTTTAAATTGAGCCATTCTTTCCTCCGATTACTATATTTACATCTGTAGGAATACAATTTAGCCATTTGTCTCTGATCACTATAAATCTGACTATTACAACTAAGAACTTAAAAATTATGTCTATTTAAGTCAAGCCATGCGAGGCTCCCACCATGAAAATAGACAGCTTTGTATTTGAGGTGCTGCTTTTTGCTTAGTAAGCTTTCCACACAGCATGTGATGCTGTCTCAAGGTTCATCTTTCTAAACTACAATGCATTTTTCCCAATCAGTGGAAATGAATAATGCGAAACTGCTGGTGTAACCTGATTGTTTTCCCACAAGCTCACATGACAGCAAACAGAATGTAAGCTGGCAGCCACCAGAGGGCAGAGCCTTGCATGGACAATATTAACAAAACACAACTGCTAAAAATACAGACTGGTAATATTTAACAGTGCATTTTGGATATTTGTAAGAATACAGTATGCGTATTAAGAGGCTTTATAATGTATTATGTTTAATTAAGGTTATCTATCAAGATCAAATTTCCCGACCCCACACTGGGGTTGTTGTTTTAACCTAAAAGCTATAGAATTGCTGTTATAAATTGAGGGCTTGCTCATTTTAATATGTAGGCATATACTACCATTTGTAAGATGTAACATGTTAACAGACGCTAACTGTTCTACAAACGCGACAAGACAAAATCAATGAGTGATACTTAACGTGCTAATTCATGGCCTTTCTGAAGATGGCACTTTGCGGCTGTCCAATGTTATTTTCCCTTTTAGTATCATAAATAAATAAGCACCATCTTGTAGTTTAAAATATTGATGTCTATTCTCCCTATACTCTGCTCGATCTTGGTAAAGTACATGTTGTCTCAGCATTTCATTGCATCATTTATGAGATGCAACACATCCAGTTACTATGATCTGGTGCACAGCCTCCCAGACAGAGTTCTAAATACCATTTACCATACAGATCATTCTTCTTTGTCACTTTTACACTGTTTGGTGGAGGCAAATGAGCACAGTTAGGGAAAAGGATGTCCAAAATTCTTGGATTAGCTGTTATTTTTAGGCTAACTGGAAGGTAGGCGCAACTACTTGCAATAAAGAAATGAACAACTACATGATTTCATTTTGCTTGAGATAAGTAAATGTGGTTCACTTTAGGGCAGTGACATTACTCGGATCTCTAGCTTTGATTCTGGTCATACACGGCACATGGTCTAAGATTTGCCTGTTCTAATAGCTGTGTTTTACATACGCATCTTAATGGATCAGTGTGTAACATTACCGGAAAGAAAGTCTACTTTTAGACTACTGTCCTATCCACCTTCAAATATAAAGTGTAGTAACGGAATAGTTAACCTACTACGTTATGGCTTTGGAGTCTCATTTGAATTCCTCTTTTAAAGGCAATTCATTTTATTATCGGTGTGCACCTTTTCTGTATTGTTTACTGTATTGTTCCCTCACAATCCCCAGCAGCATATACTAACAGTACATTTGCTTTTCTCCCCCACTGCTCTGTTAAGTGCTGGGAGCCAAAGGAAATACCCAGGTCTTTAGGTATGGAGGAATATGTGACTCCCTCCATAGGACAACGCTGTCACACAGGGAGTCCATTGACCTGTGTAACCAGTAATCTCCAGTGACATGCAGCTTACATGTCTTGTCGTCACTCCCAGCGTCTGAACAGGGTAGCAGAGAAGCAAAAGGGAAGCGAGTATGTGCTGCTGGGGAGGACTAAAGGTGCCCATACACTGCACGATTATCGTACGATAATCGTATGCGATCGGGTTTTCGTACGATAATCGAGCAGTGTGAACGGAGACGTGCGACCGTTTCTACTGTACGGTCGCACGTCTTCTGTCGAACCAGCATGTTCGAAAACCAGCCGGGAATCGTACAATTCTCTGCTGATTAGAACGGTGCTCGGAAGATAAATGCTGAACGGGCCGGTGTGCGCACGCGCACACTGCCCGTTCAGCATTGCGGTCATCGGAAGCCCGCCCCTCAGGAGGGTGGGCTTGCGATGATCGAGAGTGCGATCTGCCTGTCCAAGATAGGCAGATCGTACGTTTTTTTAATCCCTTTACAACCATCGCAAGACTAAAGTCTTGCGATGGTTGTAGAGTGTATGGCCACCTTAAATTAAAGTGAGCTTGTTTGCGCTGCATGGGCAAAGTTAAGGTTCACTATAAAGCATTTTTTTCAAGTGACATTTACAAGTTTACATGTGCATGCTATATTGTCATTGTTTCAAATATAGCGATTTGTTTCATTTATCTACTAAAGAAAGCTCTCAGTGTATCCAATATCTCTCTACTTAACAACTACTGAGATGAGTATCAGCTACACAGGGAGTACACACTTTTCAATGGGCTAGCCAATTCCCAGACTTGAACTGTGAGAAACAGCCATTAAGTAATATACGGTGCAGTCCTAAAGAACAAGAAGCAGAGCTTGCTTCTGCAATGATCAAATATGGCTGTCTTGTATAAATCTCTGTTTAAAAACAAAGAGGGGAATTTATCCAAACTGGAGCAGACAAAATTTGAAGCAGCTGTGCATGGCAACAAATCAGCTTCTCTTTCTTCATTTTCAAAGTTTAACTAAGCAAACTGAAGATAGAAGCTGATTGGTTATTATGGGCAACTACTCCAGTTTTGATACATTTCCCCCATAGTGTTTTACAAACAAATAGAAGTTTCCATACATTCCAACATGAGTATAAATATTCACAATTACAGGCTTTAACGGAACTCAAAAGTGACCTGGTTGCTTGACTCAAGCATTAAAGCAGAATTCCGGGTACATTTTTTTTCTTAACTCATGCAGTGGGGCTACCCTCACAATGTAAGGGTTAAGAAAAATATTGCAGAGTTTTGCTTTAAGTAAGGGAACCTCTAGCCAATTTAGCTTGACACAGATGTTGCCAAATTGTACAAAAGCTAGCCATTTTTATCAGCTGCAGACTAAGAAGCCCGAAGAACACATATGTAACAGATTATTATATTAGCAGCAGCTGTTGGTGTAGCCACACACATGCCATAGATAAACAGTTTTTAGTTTAACAAGCGACAGGGCATGTGTCAGAAATAGCTACCTTTCAAGTCTTCATCTTCAGTTGTGGTATTACAGCTCTCAGTTGATCCCTGAAAAAAAAAATAATAAAAACATTTGTGAGTACAAAATATTGTGCAGTAGACACCACAGTTCATTATGTAATAGAAATAATAATGGATATTAAATATCCTGTAAACATACACGCGATCTGCCGGCTCTAAAGCCGACGGATCGCTTGTATGGTATCAGGCATCGCTGTCTGTTTTTAAAAAAACGGCAATTTCCAGCTCGCGCGAGGGGGCGTGTCTGAGCGGACGTCTAGAGACGCCCGCTCAGATCTAGAGAGCTCCGGGCCGGCCGTTTTTCTACTACGGCCGGCCCGGAGGCAGTTAAAGTGTATCTAAACCCAAAAAACTAAAATGTTATGTATTGTAACTTACCAATCCTTATATGTGATGGTTACATTTGTTTTATTGTTAAGACTTTTTCCTTTTGTTCTCAGCTGGTGATCCAGTCAGTAACACAATTCCTGTCTGAGGGTATCTCCACTCTATGGAGTAGCAATGCAGCCACCCTTGGACAGGAGCATTGTCACCAAATGGGGAGGGTAAGTGTTAGATGACATGACTAGCAAATTAAAGTTGAACTCCAGGTAACAATTCTTAGTTACAGCAATAGGCTTTTTTTTTGTTCCTTTGGGTTTTTTTCATAAATGAATAAAATTTGACCATTTTAAGCACCCCTGCCAGTGTTAATTGAGTTGTATCAACCCTATTTGCCACTTTTGCTAGGCAGCTTGGTCTGTTAAAGGAAGTTGAACAATAATAGACATACTGACCGGATCACCAGGTGAAAATGAAAGAAGAAGCCTAAAAAATCATACAAACGCAGCCACCATGTTTAAGAATTTATGTTTGTGCAATTTCAAATCGTACACATCAGTGTTGGCCATGGCGCATTATCAGGATAATTCGACTCTTAAATATGTATATGAAAGCTTCCATATAACAAATTAAGTAAGTCTTGTATTTCCCTTGTGCCAAGATATCTAAGCGGAAACAGATTTAACTGACAATGATTGTTTAAAAGTTTGCCATCAGCCATCCAAGTCGCTAAAAAAGTCAGCACAATACATTTATTCTTCTATTTCGGACAGTATTAAGAACATCCATACACAAGTCTCTACTACGTAAACGCATTTGGTTTCATTGGCAATGTGTTATCAAATGAAAACTTGTTTACCGACACTGGTTCTAACATGTGGGTAAAGATTGAAAGTACAGAGGAACATGTATGCAGAGATGGTAATATAAATTGTGAGACTTACTTTTATTCCATCTGTAGCATTATGAACAACAGTTGTCTGAGGTTCCTAAAAAAAGTGGGGAGAAAAAAAAGTCAAACAAGATAAAATAAATGATTAGGTATCCCACTCATTACAAAAGAAATATTTATAACAAACAACGTAGAGTGTATACAACACATATCACAGACACCACAGAAGATCAGTTAACTTGTGGATGTTACAAAACAGTGCAAAGAGGGCTAGACTTTAGACTCAAAACTTTTATGCATGTAAACACCATTAGGTACAGTAAAAGCACCAACATTATATAAAACAGTAGCTTTGGAAAGTTTTCAAACATAGGAGAAAAAGAGCCATCACCTTAAACATTTCAAGAGTAATTTACAGATGGGAAAATGTATCCAAGCAATTAAAATTATGTCCCCAGCATCCACCCCCCACATTTGTATAACCATAACTTTAATAGTACATTCTATTTTTGTCCTGGTATGAAGAGGTAAGGTCAGGATTGGCAATCTGGCAACTTTGATGATACCAAAAAGTAGGTGTAGCTAAGAGTACCTATAAATCTATCAGTTGCTCAGCCTCAATCAGTCCCCAAAAATAGTGACACCTGACTGCATCCTACATAAATCTAATACACATTGAGTGGAAGTTATCAAAACTGGAGCAGACAGAATCTGGAGCAGTTGTCAATGGCAACCATCAGCTTCTCTTTCATTTTTTAAATCTGAACTGAAGAGAGCTGATTGGTTGCCATGCACAGCTGCTCCACATTTTGTCTGCTCCAGTTTTGATAGATTCTCCCCATTCTGCACTAAACCCACTGTATCCTAATAAGCAAATAGTGATGTCAGAAACTATTGAAGTGGCCTTAGCAAAATGTTGTAAAACATATAAAAGTGGGCTGGTATGTGTTGAAATCTGATGTGAAAAACCTAATCAAAATGTGTTCAAATATATATCATCATATATATCTCTGTTTAGTTTATAATACAATATGTAAATAGGATAGAAATAGGACAATAGGCCTAGATTTATGCATTTACATTTTCCCATTTTGCAAATGACCCAGAGTGTCTCCAGAAATCCACACAGTTGTGCATCAAGCTCTGTAATGTTGGCTTCCTGGTACTTTCTTTTTTAAAACACACTTATCAACCCAATCCTTCCCTAAGCCCTTGTGCAAGGATATGATAAGATGTGCCTTCAAACGTCTCCTGTGTAAATGTTACTTTTGTACAGGCAAGAAGGGATAAAGGCAGTGAAGTCCTAGGTAATCTATGCATAAGGGTTGAGGCCAACATTACTTAGCCTAGTGATTAAGTATTAACATAAAATATCCAGAAAAATCTAGGCAGGTCTATAAAAAGTCACTATACAACAAAAGCATGAACAAAAAAAAAATGAAGTGCACAAAAAAACACCCCCAAACTGTTAAGTGCCAAACAACCCCCCCAAAAAAAAAACAGCCACACAAGACGTGAGGAATTCAAACTTCAAACAAGAACTGGTACACACTGACACATTAAAAACCTGCAATAGAGCTGTGACTCAGTCGAGTAATGGTCCATGGTGGACTTTTGAAGAGAGAAAAGGGCCATAGTAGGTAAAATGGAAAACACCATTAAGTAATATCTTATGATTGTAAAATAGTTCTACTTTCTTTTGTATTCTTAGTATTTGTGTTACACATCTGAAAGCATTTTGTAGCCATTTATGTAGACTGCTGTTCACCAGATTACATGGCCAATTCCTCCCTTCTCAAGGGTTAATTTTCATTGAACTATGGGCAAGTGATGGGCCGAGACAAAAATCTTTCTATTTATACTAAAATATTTGCAGATATATTAGTAATAACATAAAAAATGTATTTTCTGGAAGGAATAAAATCACACTATTATTCTGACCATATTAGGCCTCACTGCAGCCCATCATTGCCCAAGTTATCTGAAATAAATTAACTTTCCACAAAACAAAAAAAGAAGAAGAAGAAGAAGTTAATACCAGTTTGAAACTTTACAGCAAAACAATATAAACAAACATTCAGGCTGTCAGTTGTATACCATATTCACAAAAAACGAATGATGACAATGACACACAGTGGAGAGTAATGACTGTTGTCAATGGTACTAGTCTGGTGACTGCATGCACATCTCAACAATAAAGCCATGAGTTCTACCACTTTTAGACTATGGGCAGATCTACTAACTACGCATTATAAAATCTGGAGGAGCCACAGGGCTTGGGGTACTGAAAAAAAAAAGGATAATTGATATTGTGTCTGTTGAAATATGTCATCTATGTAGGCTGAAGAATATTAGCTTTTCAGGTTAATTACAGAAAGGCCTTTTTGAGGGAATGCAGTACCAGCTTAGTAAACCATGACCATGTAGGAAATTCTATGTTAGTGCTGGCCTTACCACTCCCATATCTGAGGCAGCTGGCCACCTGGATTCTCTTCCCTCTTCACTACCAAATATATTAATTCATATTGTGTCACAATATTTTGACTTTAGGCAGTGATAGAGATTGCAAACTGGTTTTAATTTTGAATAAATTAACACCAGTCATATGGAAATTCCAGGAGGTCAAAGCCAATTCCGTTCCCAACATGTACAAGAAACTAACCATATACAACAAACAAAATAAACACGAACACAAGTGCAGCACTAAAATAAAATGCAAACATGAATTTTGATTAGCACAAGCAGCATTCCCACTGCTCACATCCCAGACACTGAAACCCCAGAAGAGTAGATGGGGAAGATACCATTGTTGCCTGCAATGGGGGGTTTTCTTTTGCTGGGGTTATTATGCTGTTTTTGTTGTTGGTCTGTGGCTGAGACAGAAAAACAGATGGTTTAGTCCTACTGATGGTGTGAACTGCTTTACAATGTCAAAGAAAAAAAAAAACCCGTTGTTTCCTCCTTCCCAAAACCCCATGAACTGGAGAAAACAGTGGTTTCCTCTGAAAGCAGAGATAACGAAGAAACCTCTAACAGTGCTGCCGAAGGAAATGAAGAGCAATGAGGAAAACAGACTGATAATGCTCTGAAGCCAAGGTGATAACTTAAATTTACTGGTAAACCATTTGCAGCATAATGCAATATAAAACAGAAGTAAAATAATGACTGGACATGGAAGATATGATACACAACAGAGATGGACATAATGTCTTGCCACACATTGTAAATGGTCAACAGCGCGAAATGATGAAGCCTAGGAACAGCTGTGATATGAAAGCCATACTGGGATAACAGCAGCTAGTGAATGGAAGGCTTAACATTAGGCCTGAATTTTTTTTTTACGTGTGTCGGTAATAAATGGAGCATTATGGGTAATGAAACTTTTTCACAGTTAACTCTCTCAATCCTAAGGATAGGTTGGTTATTTTAGTCCAGCAACATCACAAGGTGTGAATGGGGTGTAAAAACAGATAACACATGCCAATGTTACAGTACTTGTGCATGTCTTACTCTACCCAATAAACCAGAAGAAAGTCTATCACCACTTGTCCATGTGCCCCTAAACCTGGCTGATTTTCAGTAGGCAATTCAGATATTTATGGGTGTGACCTAATGGAAAATAAGTGAATTGGTGAGTAATGTTAAAATTCATGGAAATCCAGTTTATCAATTTGCTCAAAACTGGCATCCCAGGAATATGACGAGCCATACAGCCAGCAGACAGGCTGATAATCACTAATGTGGATCTTAGCAAAACAATTGATGTACCCTTTTTCGAAATCCAAAACCATATTCCTCGATATTATGTATCTACTATTAAAAGGCCCCATATTTTCCAGGAGTCTCTCTAATTGCAAAGGTCAAGCTGATAAAACTACTAGTACATATGAAAAGGATCAAGGCTTTAATATCCAGAGACATCATTTGTAAGGCTTAGGCAAATATGAAAATTACTCCTAGCTCTGAAAAAAAACCCATAACATTAAGGATACCCTTGCACTTCTTAAATGTCTTTTTTGCCATCAAATCATTTTGGCCAGTTCTCTACCATACGGTATATAAAGATTTTTACCAACTATGTCAAACTGAGACACAGGTACCGTACAAAAAGTACAAGCTTCCTCAGCTGAAATAGATGCTATGCACAAAGAAAGATTGGCCACCTGTACCCCAGATAGTGTAAATGCATAATGAAGGATAAGACCAAATACAAAAATAAATTTCTACTGTAAACATTAACATTTTAAAATCATAAGAAAAATCTGTGGTGCTGGTCAAAGAAGATGCTCTACTAAAGCTGCAAGACCTGAATAGGTGTTGTTTAAACTGACCATGCTTAAAAATGGCAGTACATGTCAGTCACTGTCTAAGCATGTACAGTATATAACAAAACTGGACTTGAACCAGGTTACACATCCATCCATATGGAAGAGGAACCATTTTAATCTGTATTCCATGTTCAGGTAAGCTCTCTGTTAGTTAAAAACTATACTGGTTTGCACATCGTACAGCATAAACTATACAATAGATTTTAAATCGCTCAGCAGCTTGAAATGAAACACCTGTTGCCAGTCAGTTAATTTGCAGCTCACTAATTCCAATGCCCTACAAAATTAGACAAAATTTGTCAACAAGGGGGTTTTCTCAAGGTACTAAAGCAATTAAACATTTCCTGCATAGTTTATGCCTCAATCAGTTTTTAGGATTAGATAAACTGTAAAATAAACCAAGGTATGGAATAATGAGAATAACACATTTTGTAAAGTACTGTGTGACAAATGCGGTTGCTACAAACAATAACACTTTCTACAAATGTCAGAATTATGCTACAGTATACTCGCAATATGTTAAAAACATTTTGACAACTTTTACAATTTTTGATTTCTGGGAAACTGTATTAGAATTATTAAGCCTCTAAGTGGCCTTGAAGCACTGGCTGTGTTATTCGACATCAGGAAAAGACAAGTAAAGTACAATAAGGAGCAAAATGGATATTCAACTACATTTGAATGTAGTATTCTGATTCATAGCAATTCATCAGCTTTATATTTGCTACAGACAGATATTTGGAAGATTTCTGTAAATTGGTTGCCATGATTGATTGTGGTGTATTCACTGCTATTTGCCCTATTGAACATATCTGTGCATACTGATGGAACAGAGTTTTTAAAACTATATGAAACATTTGTCCACAACACATCTCCCTAATATTTCTATACTGTAGGTCATTCTGACTCGTGTATTCAAATTGAAAGGAAGATTAAACAACCAACCTGCTACATTCTTTGAAGAAAATTAATCATCATCAACGACAGACAACAAAGACACTTTCCTTCCCTTTACCCCCTAAAGGTACAAACTGTGAAACTAACATAGTGATGACCACTCCAGTTAATGTGTATATATGATTATCCTTTAACAGTTCTTTGACACCTATGCTTCATTCCTTTATTAAAAGGGTTAACATAACATGTCCCAGCAATCTATTTTTAACTGAAACAGCAGCTCATCTAGATGTCCATGAAGTATGAGTCACCAGATATTACGTTTCCTATCACAGATCTACTAAAAGGTTCAGAATGTCAAAGCCAACAGAGATGATACTCCAAGTAATCGCTTACAAAGAAAAATCTCTGACATCCCCACTATGACTGCATTTTAACTGATGACCACTTTATTGACTGATAAGATGCAATGACATAATAAGGAATCCGAGCTGAGCATGAGCAAAGTTTAAATGCTTGGGACATCTACGATGTACTGAAGGTTTATAGAATGACTGAGGTAAACTAAAAGCTAACAGCAGAGATACATGTGTAGCATTTACATATGGTCCTTCTGACACTTTTCTGGATACCACTATTCACCCTAATGCCCCAGCAGGGTTATTTAACTGAATAAGGTGATATTATATACCAAATTCTAAAGTAAGTTTACCCACAGAAATATCAGAATGGGTTGAAGACCCAGGCTATTATAAGTTCAACAGTCAATAATTGAAGACAGACTATTCACATACAATATCTTACTTCAAGGGCGTTTTTCATTAATTTAGTTTGAATACAACCAGGTAGGTACTAGCACTATACACAGTATAGCGGTCAATAAAGCAAAAGGGACACGTACAATAAGAATGCACATTGCAGTGGTACATTCTAGCAGGATTTGAATTACTCTGCTTTTTCAAGAGGCAGAACTGAGGCAGTGACCTCACACCTACAGGATTTTATCTTAGCCGATAGTTTAGTTATCATTTTCATGCAGGGTCCATGTTAAAGTGACAACAAACTCAGGAGTTAAATCTTAAAAATGCATTCAATGTACCTAATTTGTGTATCACTCAGCTGTAGATCCTCAAATCATCTCTGAATTCCTGCCGATACTGCCCTTCCTTCTAGAGAGTGGCTATTTTGTTCCCCATGGTATTTGTGTGTATTGTAAAGAAGCCACTGCTCCAAGCTCACTCCTGTGATGGACTGTAATCTCATGTTTAGTTTACTAATTTGTATTGAGATTGTAGTCCATTACGGGAGTGAGCTTGGAGTGTTGGCTACTTTACAACACACACAGGGACCATGGGGAACAAAAGTAGTCACTTTCCAGAAGGAAGGACAGTGTTGGCATGAATTCAGATATGATTTGAGGATCTACAGCTGAGCGATGCACAACTAAGTTACATTTTTGTTAATAGTTAAGGTACATTTAAGATTTAACTCCGGAGTTTAGTGTCACCTTAAAGTATAGTCATGTGCAATATACAACTAAAGATTTCTAGAAATAGCCCACCACTTGCATAAAGATGCATCATGCGTTTAGAGTCTACAAATATGAGAAAGCTCATAGGAGGCGATAAATTGAACAGCAGCTACTGCATATTCTTAGCAATGATTATGGCTGAATAGTTGCACCTGTTTTATCTATAAGGTGCCCAGAAGTCACATGAGTAATATATGAACACGGGTGCCTACAGAAATGTTATATAATCTGTATGTAAAACTAAAATTTTAGTTGTCCACAACCAATCCGCAAGATGCACCCTGAAATTTGTATAACAGCAGTGATTATTTAGTGCTGCTCTGTAATTTGGCATTCATTTGGAGGAGGGTATCTGTTACATGATAAAACACACTAATTTTCATCTGTCATGGCAGTTATTAGTTACAGTTTCTTGCTAGTGGTGGCTAAGAGTCTGGCAAAAAAATAGAGTATTTTCTGCAGCAATGCACATTTGTTATTAAAAATAAATGGCCTCTAAATGGTTTGCAGCCAACCTGGCACTGAGGTCACTAATAGAGGCTTCTCTAATATTGATCAAATAGACCAGAGAAAATAGGGTTTTTTCCCCAGTAAAAACCTTTCCCTGGGGTTCGCTGAGGGAAAAATTAGGTCTTTAACGCTCAGGTTATACTGTCCTCTACAAGATTGGACAATGGCAAACAAAAAAAAATCATGTACCACATTAACTTAAACACGGAGAGTGGGACCTAGATCTCACAATGAATTTCAAGAAATAGTTTTAAGTTGATTAGAATCCTATTTTCTTTCTTGTCCACTGAGGGACACAAAAAGTACAATTTGAGTTGACCAAGTGCCAGAACCTGCAGGTGGACTCAGAGCAAAGCTTGGAGGGAAGGGTAGTCTTGACATGGAGGCCGCAGGAGTAAAGAAATGAAAAGGATGTTTCTTAACAGATACAGAGGGAGAAGACTACGGATCAAACTGCAAAGTTTTCTCTTACTGAGAAAGATGTATGCTCCAGCTCCTGTCTCTCAAAGGCCATGCAGATCAAAACACTTCTTACAGGGAGATACCTCAGCCCAGGATTTTAAACAAAGTGTCCACAGTAGGGACGGACCACTTTTGTACAAAATCA